GGAAATAATCTTTTATAGACTACTATTACTAAGAATTAATGTAGGAACATAATTGTTTATAATTTATATTAGACTTATGAGAAAACATTTTTCCTTTTAGAAACTAACTTTGGCCTCTTGACTTCAGTACAGCACCCTTTGGGGGTCCCACTGTTCAAGAGCTATGCCTGATACCTACTCTGGGCTTCTCACGAGAAGCAGATGTTTCAGATGGAGATTACTACTGTGTGCTTTGGACGTGGCAGAGTTGTTCCTTCGTATACCACAAGCCACCAGTTGTCAGGGGCATCTTCATTGTCTTACATTTTATGCATCTCTTAAAGTAGTTAGAAGCTGTTTTAGACTTTAGAGGTCTGGGACTTGTCAAAGAATTATTCACTTGTGGTTCCACATTTTATCTTTCAAGGTTGTTACAGAGGAAAATTCTTGTAGGTTTTGATAAATGACTTTTTCTTAAAGTAGCATGCTGGATTATTTGGGAGTATAGTACGTTCTTATAGCACTTTATAGTTTTCAAAGCATTTGTCACTGATGGTCTCCCATTTTACAGGCAGAGAAACTAAGCCTCTGAGAAGTGACTTGACTAAGGCCACATTGCTTGGAGGTCATATATGCGCCAATCCTCTCCGTCCTTTAAAGTCACCTCCTGTAAGAAGTCTTTTAGCCTCCCCTAATTACCACTCTGGTATTTACCACATTATGACTTGTAATACAGTGTTCACATACATTTATCTCCCTTACCATCGACTCCCTAAGAGCAGGGACTGTTATAAATGTTTGTGTGTCTCTCCATGTGTCAAATTCTTCCTCACCTGTGCTAACCTTATGCATGTTCCCCCAACAGCACTGCAATTTCTTCCTCTCTTCTAGGCTGTGGCTTTGAAGTCTGCAAAGCTCTCCCGAGGTGCACGAGCACATAGTGGGTACTCTTAATGCTCATTTAAGCTCATTGCCTTGTTTTTAACATGCAGATATCTTAAGACAGAGCTTTACACATGTTTATAAGGTGTCATATAAGTCAAATATGATCTGAATCTTAGCCTTCTTTCATTTCCCTATTCTGGATACATAGTAGGTGCTTATTAATGTTTTTTGGATTAAGCATTTATATATTCACATTTATATATTCACCTGCCCACTTTACACTTTTCTTTCTCCCATTATTGTATACAACTATCTTTTTATATGTATATGTCTTGAACTCCCAACTAAACTGTAAGCTCCACAGAGAACGGTTATTTTTTGTATTTGTGCCTGTGTGTCCCTAAAACATCTTGCATGCAGTAGGATCTCCATAAATTTTTGCTAATTGATGTTAAGTGACCAGTGTGTGATAGCATACTAGTTAACAAAGCATGGCAGGGCTGGTACTATCCAATGTGAGTGGTTTTGCTTAAAATCCATGTTTTGGATATCTATTTTAAATAGGCATACACACGCTGAAATGTATTTTAAAGGGAATTCACTAAAGTAGGACGGAGCACCAGGTTCACATGAAGGGGACAAAGGTTGTTTAGAATTAGGGATGGTCATGGGCACTGCTGGCTGAGCTGTATGTGAAAAGGGGTCTCCCACCTGATGGCCGCTTGCTGCAGTTTTATTGCACCTGAAGGTCTTTTCTTTCCTCTCAGAGCACTTTTATTCAGTCTCTTTTTGTCTGGGGATCCTTGACAGGCTGTAAGTGTGTGATATTTTTCTAGGGTTAAGGTTGTCATCATCACAGATCAAAGACTCCTGACAAGAACAGAGAGCTTACTCCCTAAGCTACCAGAAGACACTTCCAAAAAAATTGACACTTCTGGTACTTGGCCAGCTGGTCAGAAACGAAAACTTTTAGTAAACACCCCAGTAATCCTATTGATCAAACTCATGATTGTTGTTCATAGTTTTGATGTAAGACAGTTGTCTCTAATATGGTTTTCTCTACTCCTGAGAAAGTTCCAGTTACCATGGTGAAATGTCTAAAAGCCTATCTTTTTTAAAAGAATTAAAATATCATTGATTTGTTAATTAAGAGGACACGAGAGAGTTGGCTTTGAGAAGTTCTGACTTTGATAAATGGCTATTTAAAATTAAGGGCAATTGCTCCACGTTTAACTTTCTCTGTGTTGTCAAATTCAAACTATATAGCTGAAGATGAAATTTATCCCCAAATCCAGAATTCCACATTAAGTTCACTCAAGATACTGCACAGTGGCTATAAATAATTTTATATCATGCAGGGTACAGTATGCATAGGGATACTTTATTTTCTTAATGTACTGTCTATTATTAGACTTCTAATTACTCAGGCTGGATGAAAGCAGAGAGGTCTCATTCTTATAATAACTGCCAATTATTTAGTTTGAAATAACAGGCAGAAGAGGTTCATTTTAGGTAGCTTAAACTGAAGAGGTAACATTTGTTTTTAAGGAGTTCTAAACATACTTGTCTTTGTTTTGTTTTTTTTGTAACCCAAACCCCTTCACATTTTAATTATTTCAATAAAATCTGCAATTTAACAAATATCTAGAAATGATTAGTCTAATTTCTTTCCTTTCCATGTCCCTCAATGAGGCAAGTCAGTCTTCACTATGGTTATGAAAGCAGTCCACTCAACATTTGTGTTCTGTAGATTTGCATTAATATTATTAGGCATATCTGGAGAATTTTGCGTTCACTTTTTATTCTTTGCAATACTCTCCTAGAGAAAGAGTGCATCTTCTATTTCCCTGATGAGGTAAACATGCTTGAAAAGTAAAACTTCATTTAAAAATCTTATTTGATTTTCTTAGAAATTATATATATATAGTTACAAGGCTCTTGAGTCCCCAAGTGACTAATTAGCACAGTAATAATATTCTCTTTTATTAACCTGAAAATTATACTGTCCTCACGAGGCCTGCGTTTGATTTGTGTGTTCTGATGCCAGGGTCGAGCTTTTTATTTCTCACTACAGGAGTGTCTTCCCTGTGGTGGGGGAGACGCAGAAACAGGCCTGGCGCGGACGGCTGGGACCCTGCGTGGGTTTAGGGGAGAACAGGGGAATCCGATTCCCGCGGGATGCAGAGCGGACGTGGGAGCGCCGGAGGGTTTATGCACCTGGCGCTCTGCTGAGGGATTTAGTTGCATTATTTCACTTGTTCCTCATAATCCTGAGCCAGCACCCCCATTTCCAATTCTCTGAAAACCAGAGATCTAAATGGAGAGGAGGGATTCTTCGTGAGCCTGTCCCGGTCCCTGGCCGGCCAAGTGTTCCCTTGGGAATGCGGAGTCCTGGGCGGACCCTGAGGCTAAGCGCTGCCCCCGGGCCCCTCGCTGAGGGCGGCAGAGCCCGGGAAGTGTGGCCCGCGCACCCCTCGTCCCGCGCAGCCCTCAGGAGCTGGCCTGGAGAGACAGACGACTCTGTTTCTGACAGGCGTCCTCTGACCGTAACTGTCTGGAGCACGTGTTTCAGGCCCTGTTGCTTGATTTCTTTATTAATTTCTTAATAGCGGAGCGCTGCCTTATTGAAAACCAATTAGAGCCCTCCACTCTTTAAAACACAGGGTAAAGGAGACTGGGGAGGGCATCTCCCTTCCTGCCCTGCAGGGGCCAACCCGAGACGCCTTCCAGCGCCACGGCCCCAGGAGGTAGGGGGCACTTCGGAGGCATCGCGGGGACACGGAGGGGCTGACTCCCGAGTCAGGACTGCGGACGGTAACGTGCTTGAGTGAACCTTACGCCGAGAGGTGTTAGAGGATGGCATTCCACAAGGGAAACAGTTCCACAAGGGAGCTTCCGCTGCTGAAACTGAGTGGGAGGTGCTCTTACTGTTTAGCCCTCTAGGCCATGTTCACTGCAGTTCCAGCAGTGACGTGGGTCGTGTAAGAGGGGCGGTGGCCTCGGCCCAAAGTAAAGCTTCCGTGAAGCCAGGTGAACGGCTGGCCCAACAAAACAGGATCCTGACTGTTAACTCACTGGAAGGTACATAAGAATCTGTGTCATAGGAAATAGTCTCGGTCAAACGGGACCTCCGCCGCCTTTTGTGATGGATGCTAACCTGCCGCTGGCACAGCCCCTCTGTGGACTGCAGAGCAGCCGCCCAGGCTACTGAGGTCCTCTGGCCTGGGGACGTCTCCGAGGCGCACTGAAGGGTCAGGGCAGTGCGGACGCACGGCCTCGTCTAGGGGGGTATTCGAGTGCGTGGGGTGCAGGTGTGCACGCGCACAGGCGAGGAGCTGGAGACACGCGTGGGAAGTCTCCGCTTCAGGACGGGATGGCACCTGGAACGGAAAGGGCTTCTTTGTGAATTTCCCCTGTATGTTTCCGTCTTCAAATTTTCTTGTCCTATAATAGCCAACACCTGAGGCATCTTTCTATGCCACGGCTCCACACACACACACACACACACAAAACCTGTATAAACGGGGAAAGCAAAGATTTAAGGTCTTAGTGAAGATGCGTGGTAAGTAAGGCATAGGTTCTGGAGTATAACTGCCAGGGTTTGGACCCCATCTCTTTCCCTTATTGGCTGTACATCCTTACACAAGTTATTTAACTTCTGTGCCTCAGTTTACTCAAATGGAAGGGATACTGGTACTTATGTTGTCATGTAGTCGTTATGGGAATTTAATAAGTAATGCTTAGGAGAACATGGCTCAGAACCCGACACAGTAAACTCTATATGTTGGTTATTATAAATGATTACACTTAGACTACATCTAGCTATAATCAATTCTTTATGCAGACTTTTCAGTGAAAAATGTTTCCAGTGAGTTTTAGTAAGCGCGATAGATTTTCTCCAAGTTTCATTGTAGTTGTCAATGCTCTTGTGATATTTTTACCCCACTGGTGTTCAGAACTTCAAAAGGAAAAATAACACAAACAAACGGGATGCTCTTGTTCTCCATAGAGGGCCATGCATTTCATTTGCGGAATACTCCTGACTCTGCCCCTTTGGCCAGCTAATCTAATGTACATATTACTAGTAAACGGAAGAAATGGAAGGAGAAATAATGAGGTTTTTCTTTCTTCCTTAGGAAGACTATGATCGTCTGAGGCCTTTATCTTACCCAATGACTGATGTCTTCCTCATATGCTTCTCGGTGGTGAATCCAGCCTCATTTCAAAATGTGAAAGAGGAGTGGGTACCGGAACTAAAGGAATACGCGCCGAATGTACCCTTTTTATTAATAGGAACTCAGGTACGTGTGCTTCGGAATGCTCTCCCTGGCCCGTCCTGTGGCGTGGCCCTCAGACAAACGGCCCTAAGGTCTTAGCAAATGATATACGTGTTTAAGCTCAGTTGTAAGCTATTATAAATTCTATCACATTTTTGGAAAAAGTAGTGCTGAAAGAAAGCAATGATATTAGTTGGTTTTAAAGATTAAGTTCCTTTGTTTAATCTTTTGCTGTTATGTGGGGATTAAGTGGGACTACATGCTTTGATTCATCTTTAAAGACTTGTAATTATTATGGGACATTATTGACCTTTCTTAATTAGATTGATCTCCGAGATGACCCCAAAACTTTAGCAAGACTGAATGATATGAAAGAAAAACCTATATGTGTGGAACAAGGACAGAAACTAGCAAAAGAGGTAATGGAACCTTTACAGAATTTATAAATAAGTGTAAAAGCAGCTAAAGTAATACTAGAAGCTAACATTTATTGTGCACTTACTGTATGCTAGGCACTGTGCCGAGTGCTCTCCATGCATTATCTCATTTAATCCTTGCACCGACTCTGAGGTGGGTCTGACTAGTCCCGTTTTACAGAACAGAAACAGAGACATGGGGATGTCAGGTAACTTGTAAGGCTCCGTGGGTAATAAATGACAGAGCTGGGTTTCAGTCAAGCAGGGCCTGACTCCAGATCCCAGACTCTTATAGCACCACCAGTATTTTCCTAATAAGTCCCGTGTAGAAAGAGGCATCAGAATAAGGTGCTGATCTTTAAGCCTCCTTAATCACTTAAACATTTGTACTGTGCCAAATCAGGTTTCTATCTTCAGTGAACACTCCTGGAATAGATAGCGGAGTGGCATCAGGTGACAGATTAAATCTGCAGTTAAAAAAAAAAATTATGGCTCGGATTGAAAAGAAATGAGTTGAATTTTCTTCCAATCTTTTTATGAAAGAAAGGAAATAGCATTCTAAAAAATATATAACTATGATGCGCATAATATCTTTTAACTTATATTTCTCCTCACCCCAAAGCTGGGCTTATGTTTTGCTCTGTTGGGCCCTGACATTATTAGATTCTATTTTTTAGATGTGACTTTAATAGGACTTTGGTGGAAACAGATTCTAATAAGGTCCTTTAAAATGTACTATCAGGAGGCAGAAGAAAGGAAGAAAACTTTTGGGAGGAAGCTTTTCCTAATGCAAAATATGAATAGCTTCACTAACACATCACTTTAGAAATTCCACATACTCAATTTTGTAATCTTGGGGAGAGAAGGAATTTCTAAGTGCCATAAAGGTAAAAGTCATAAATGAAAATATTGATGTTTTAACTACATAAAAGTTTAATACATCAAATGCCAGAAATGAAATTAAAAGTCATATAACAAACTTGACACATATGGCAGAAAAATGAGTTAATAAATATCCTTAGTACACAGGAACCCCTTGCATATGAATCAGAAAAAGAAATACATTTCCAATAGAAAAATGGGCTAAGAATATCAATGGAAAATTCACTGAAAAAATGCAGATTGCCATTGAAGATAGAAAATATATTTAAACTCCTTCGTAGTCAAATGCAGTTCAATTTCCACCTACAAAGTTGGCAAAAAAAGAGAAATGAATTATAATAGCCCTTCTTCCAGGGGTGCAAGGAAATGGGCACGCTACTGTACTGTTGGTCTTTGAGTAAAAGTGGCCTTGACAATACGCAGAAGGCTTAAAGTCATGCACACTTTTGATCAAGCAATTGCATGTGTAGGAATTTATCCTAAGAAAATTATTTGGATGTGCTTAAAGAGGTGGCTACAAAGTTGTTGCATTGTTTATAAAGGCAAAAAATAAAAAACCTTGCACTTATTAAAAATTTATGCTACTATATCGAGATGTTCAAATTTATTATGTAGTTTAAAAAAGTGCTTGCAAAACAACATGACCCCGTTTTGAGGCCTCTCGCAGCATTTGGCACAGCTGGCTCCTTCATGAAATACTCCCTCTTGGCGCCCTCGAATGCCCTCTGGTTTGTCTCCCTCTTGTTGCCTTTCCTCTGTCTCTTCATCTCCCTGCCTCGGAATGGTGGAGGCTCCAGAGATCAGCATTCAGCTTCTCGGACAGCTTTTCTTCTATGTCCACGCTCATCCTCCAGGCTTAGGGGAGCTTCTGTCAGTCTTGTGGTTGGAACAATCTTCTGCTGAACATGCCCAAATTTCTACCTCCAGCCCGGACCTCTTCCCTAACTCTAGACTTGGACATCCAGCTGTTCACCCAACAAGTCCATCTTGGCTAAGCCTCTCAAAATTAAAATGTCCAAAACAATTCCGGATTTTATCTTCCAAGCCTGTCCTCCCAGTTCCTCAGGTCAAAAACCTTGAAGTCACACTTGACCTTGCTGTTCTTATATAATATAGCCAAACATATCGCTGTGCCTTCATGATAGATCCAGAATCCAAATGCTCGCGCCATACCGTCTCAGTCGGGGCTTGGGCCCCTCCGTCTCTGGCCTGGGTACTGGAGATTCTAACCCACCTTCCTGCTTCTGTCTGTGCCCCATGTTACCCTGTGCTCAGCACAACATCCCGAGGGAGTCTTTCAGATGTAAGCGCCATCGGGTCACTGCCCTGCGCAGAACCCGCCAGCGGCCCCCCGCTCCCGCGGTCAAGGCCAGTCCGCACCACGGCCCCTGCCGCCTCTGCCTCAGGCCCATGGCCTCCTTGCTGTTCCCGTCTGTCTTCTACCTCGGGGCTTTGAACTTTCACTGCTCCCTCTGCCTGGAATGTTTTTCTCCCTGGAACATTATTCTTTCTTTTACTCCTTTCAGATCTCTGCTCAAGCATCACTTTGTCAGTGAGACCCTGCCTGATCTTGTCCCCACTCCTTACCTTTCTCGCGTCTCCATTTCCCTGCAGAATCCGTATTACCCTGACATGCTACCTCTATATTTATTAATTCATGGTCTTGTCCCTCCACAGCGTAAGCTTCGTGAGTAGAGACTTACTTTTGTTCCTCCTGTATTCCTTCATTTGGCAAATAAAAAGGCTCAGTACATTTTCAATGAATGAAAGAATAGGTCCCCTCTCACAGCAGAAGCCAGTCGTTAGCGTGGCCTCAAGGCCACCTCACTGACCTCCTCTTGCCGACCTTCCCTCGCCCCCTCCCCGCGCCCTCTCTCCTGCCACTCTGGCTTCTTTCCCGGTCCTGGCCCGCTCCAAGCTCCTGCATCAAGGTCTTGGCACCTGGCGCGCCGTCTGCCTAGAAATTCCTCCTCCGGGTCTTCCTCACTGCTCACGCTTCGCCTTGTGGAGCTTTCCCTGGCCGCCGCCACCGTCCTCTGCTCTCCCCATCTTCCTCACTTTTCTCCAGGGCATGTCCCACCATCCTCCTTTGTCCCTCCCCCAGAACTTAAGCAAATGTGAGCATCACACAGCAGGGACTTTGCTGCATTGTTCATTGACATTGTCCCCAGCACCTAAAGCAGTGCTTGGCATATGGCAGGTACCCAGTAAATATCTGATGAAAGAATTGTTGTCCAAAATGTCTGGAAGGATATATACTAGTAATTTAACAGTTAGCTATCTCTGGGTGTTATGATGATTTCATTCTTTTTGCATAGTTGTATTTTATGTTCCTTATAATGGTGTTTTTGGGTCATACCAGTTGTGTAAAAAGATTTTATGTATTTGTGTGTTTTTTCTCCCTCCCAGATAGGAGCATGCTGCTACGTGGAATGTTCAGCTTTAACCCAGAAGGGATTGAAGACTGTTTTTGATGAGGCTATCATAGCCATTTTAACTCCAAAGAAACACACAGTAAAAAAAAGAATAGGATCAAGATGTATAAACTGTTGTTTGATTACGTGAGAAACATCTTCAGTGGCCAAGGAAACTGTCCATTTCTCTCTAAGCAAGCATATGAAATGCTACACCTATACCCAGACCTCTTATAAATACTGAAGCAGTTCAAAACTTGAAAGGCAAAAACAACTGTCACCAGAATTCTATAAAGTTCATTAAGAATGTTTCTTAAAGGTCCAAGAAGCAGTAAACGGCATCTGAAGCCACAATCTATTATAAATACTTTATTTCAACTAGAAGGTACAATCTCTCAGGGGTTTCATAGTTTAAAAAGGTACAATCACATCATGTAACTACATTAAAAAAACAGTGCTGTAAATGGAACTGCCTGGCTTAGACCACATATATTTCTGCACAGTCTTTATGGAATCTGCACAAGAAAATCTTCCTTTGTTCCAATTAATTGTTCTTATATGTAAGTTGCTTTCTATTCCAGTATATCCAGAGTGGTGAAATAACAAGGCCAGCCACGTAGCCAAAGGTCGCTCCAAGCGTACAGGAGATGGGCCATACCTGAGGAGAGAATGTATGAGATCAAGAGAACAAATGTTTTATTAGTACTTGAGCACAAGTTAAGTGTAACCTAAATATTTCTATATTAAAGCTTAATGTGCTTTCTTAAAGAATGCCAAAAGTGTAATAAGGTCATAACTGCATTTATCATGAACACTAAAAATGTACACGTTTTAGTTAATGTGCATTCAACTGTAACAAGGCTTCTGGCGACTGTAGATTTAGTTTGATGCTACCCAAACTGCATGAGAGACATGCTAAAATTACAAATTAAAATTTTGGGTCAGACTTTGCCATAATCTTGGACTCAGTTTAGCTCTCTGAAGTTGGTAATTTTGTTTTTGAATTTCCACATTGGCTTGTATAGCAAATGAAATGAGAAGTATGTATGATGACCAAACCACAAGAAACTAAATTGTGTTAGAGAAAAGACCTAGAATTCAAGCATGTTACATGGAACTTATAACGAAGCAATTGCTTCCATTATAAAACTGATACCATCTTTCAGATACAGTATTGGAACCATAGCAGAAGTTATAGAACTACAATGTAAGCCAAACACCTAGAGTGTAAGTTAAACAAAATACTGGCTTCCAGGTACCCATTTCCCCCCAGCCATATTACATTTCACAATATTACACCAAGCCAGAAGTAAATAATCCACAAGCAGTGCATGTTGGTCCCTAGGTGAAAGCCCCATTCACATTACCTGTGAAGCTTATCTGGTATACTAGAGCACTTATAGTCTTTCTCTGGGGGAAACAGGCCATAGAACTGTGTTAGAGGTGAACCATCTTAATTACCAGCTCTGTTACCTAATTACTTCCTTGTTTGGATCTGCCTTATTCCACATACCATGCAACAGACCACAGTGTTAGACAGTTACAGTATGAACAGACCAGTGCAGTTCAGAGAAGCATAATCTCATCCATACATCCCCCCCCTTTCCTACATTTAAACTTGCTGTTGCCTAAATTATGATTTTATGTCTTTGGTAGGCTCCTGTTAATTTCCATGACTTGAGCTTATAGCTATATCTATTGCACTGATTGGGTAATGGAACACTAAACTTTTATACTTGAAAATGACAGCCTTAAATCCTCATTATCAGTCACAAATCTAGGATGGACTGTCTTGTATGTGAGCTTTGTAGAGACTTTTTAAAACATAGTCTACTGGATAACTAGTCAGGAGTTTCCTCTCTGAACTGGACAGTGGATGCTTGCTTTCTCCCCCGAAGTGGTGGTTCACATTAAGTACCATGGCCTATGTATGCTCAAATGAAATCTCATGTAATGTTCTCATTTAATTTTGGTCTGCTATTTTTAGATAAAATTGAAAGGAACTGTATAAATCAATTAGTATATTAGCTAAGCTGTCCAACACATGGTATAAAGGAATTAAGACAGTAAAGTATTATACATTTCCAACTTGTCTTTGGGGATTTGGTGGGAATTTATTTTTTCTCAAATTCACATCTCTGAACTCTTCACACTTGTTTTTACTAGCCAATGAAAGTCAAAATCTAGAATTTGTCCTACCCTAAGAGAAATGGACTAGAAATCTGGAAACACAGCTCTGGTATCACCTGTTTCATGAATGGGCTTCTGTTTTCTCATCTATAAATGTGGAAGATATATGGGAGATATCTGTTGATCTCCAATGTCACTCCCTTATATCAACTCTTACGATTCTCTTCTTTTGCACAATCATGGTTGGACATTACCTTTTCAGATTCACATTCATAAGATGGTAAAAACCCTGTACATAGATTATTAGAACTCTAAGCAAAGATGATTGCATCATCTGAACCTGAAGTGCCTTAGGTACTCTATTGACCTTCATGGGGTTTGGAGTTTCCCATTGCTTATTAAGAGCCTTTTCATTGCTTTGGTTCTTTAGTAAATTTCTTTTTGCAAAATCCTTCTGGCCACTTTAACTAAAAACCAAAGATTTGTTTCCTATTCATATGCAGATTGTAGAAAATTGCCTTATTTTCAGAAAGCCGGCTTCATTAAAGGTTTAAGTCTCAATAGAAATTCAAACTAGTCACTCAACAACTAGTACAAAGTAGTGAGATATCTGGGAAATAAAGTACTTAAAAAATATCTTATTGACATCAGTTTTGCTAGTGAGTGCAAATACACTGCTTCCAGTAAGGTCATGTATGAATGAACTTAAACTTGTAGTTAATATTTTATATAATCAGTTCTGAAGCTCTTAAAAGTGATTTTAGAGGCCCCCTGAAATCTTATTTAACACGTTGCTAACTTACACCCTCATTCTATCTCTCACGGTATATTTTGGGTTTGCCCATTTCGAATTACCATATTTCCATAAGCAAAGCCTGAATTATGGTTTTTATTGTGAATTAGTTACTTTAGACACTGCTTCCATTTGATTTTCAATTATTCATTTTAAGTACCAAATTAAATACTGGTTTGTTGGTTGTTGCTTTTTAAGTGATTGTTACTTTAACAGTGTCCCATCTTAACACATGGGGCTGCAAATAAAATAACACGCATAGTTTACTATGTAAAGCATCGAATTCTTACCGTAGTAGTTTTTATTTAACACCCTGTGTAAACATTTGGGATAATACTCTTTCCTCTCTTTCTCATGTTGTGTCTACTCATCATCAGCCGAGTGTAAGCATCTGCACTTTGTTAAAAAGCATGCTGTCCAAGAGTAGGGAGAGTAATAATCCCTAGGGAATCCCAGCCAAATTCCAATTTGGGTTACTAAATTCTATTTTAATCACTTTGTAATTTCACTGTGGCTCTTTGTTTCTAAACACATACACACATTCACATACACATTCTTTAAACAGCTGCTATACTTCATCTCCAGTGGAATGCCAAAAGTGAAATAAATATAGGTTAAAGTTTTTGTCTAATGAGCAATTAAGGCTTCTTGGATAACTTGCTATTATTAAATGTCTCAAGAAATCCATGCCATCAGCAAATTAAAATGTTGGACTGGCTTTGAGATTGTTTCCTAGTGATGGATCAGGCTTTCCTGAGTGGGACTTAATTATAACAGTAATTTTTTAAGGAGAATTTTTAAAAAATAATCTTTTAAAAATTTGTCTTTATTGATTTCAGAGAGAGGAAGGGAGAAGGGGAGGGGGAGAGAAAGGGGGGGGAGAGTGAGAGAGAGAGAGAGAGAGAGAGAGAGAGAGAAACATCAATGATGAGAGAGTCATAATCGGCTGCCTCCTGCACACCCCCTACTGGGGATCGAGCCAGCAAGCAAGGCATGTGCCCTGACCAGGAATCGAACCTCGATCTCCTAGATCATAGGCTGATGGCTCAACCACTGAGCCACGCCAGCTGGGCAAGGAGAATTTCTTTACACAAGGGTAACTTCCCTGATTTTTGTAGACGAAGACAGGGAATGGCAAAAGGAGTAGTTGAAGGGAGTTGAGGGAGAATGCTCACTAATAATTCTTCCTCAAGCAATTTCTTACTAACCTTCTTATAATTGTTTTAAAACATTTAAACCTATACTATGGCAACAGAATTCATATTGACTTGTCAAACAATCCTAGCTTAATTGTCTATTTTCATAATTAGATCTTGAAGTTTATATTTAAAACTATTTACTTGTCTCACATACAAAGATATTTCTGTTTAACATTCTTCATGCCTAAGAGGATAAAAACACACACACAAGAACACATGGTATCATCTACTGAACAGAGGACTCAACTGCACTGGTACAAACATTTCTCCCAATTGTAGTAATCTGAGATGGCTTTGTATAATTATCTTGTTTTGTTTAAGGAAAACAGAAAACTCAAAGACATTCATGTAAAGGAAGTCTTTCACAAGTGTTTGCCACCAAAATGACAATCGTCTTTTCATCCAATTTTTATATATTTTTTAAAAAGTTTAAATGACGTAATAGAATAACGCCCCCCCCTGTTGCATAACAAAAGATAATACAATGCAATTAGGTGAAATTATTCAAATTACTGTTAAAAAGAAAAACATTAAAAAATGAACAGCTACATCATGTGAAGAAAGTATCTTATTTAGTGTACTATTACCCTTTATACCAAATGACTCATTTTTCATCACTTAAAACAGTCAGTGTAGCCCGGCCAGGCGTGGCTCAGAGGTTGAGCGGCGACCTAGGATCCAGGCGATCGGGGTTCGATTCTCAGACAGGGCACATGCCCGGGTTGCGGCCTCGATCCCCAGTTGGGGGCGTGCAGGAAGCAGCCAATCAATGACTCTCTCATCATTGATGTTTCTAACTCTCTCTCTCCCTCTCCTTTCCTCTCTCTGAAATCAATAAAGATATATTAAAAAAAAAAAAAAAAGGTCAGTGTAAAATAATCAGCTTTAACAAAGGCCTAATAGTATAGGTTCTGGGTACATGGTAACTGGAAATAAACTATTTCTCTCTCAGACATAAAACAATTTCATCCTGATAAGCTAAAAAAATTTAATAATTTCTGGTTGAAAGGCACTTCAAAAATACACAAGCTTATTTCCCCTGAAAACCACACTGCTCTCTTCCAATCAGACATTACTATAACTCTGCTTACATTTTAGGAAAGGAAAATGTACTACTATATCTATGTAATGTTTGACATTTTTCAAAGCATATTCTGAGTAGTAAAGAAAAGGGATTAAGAACACTGATTTTTGTATTAGACCGGATGAATCTCAGCTCTGCCATTTGTTAAATATGTGACTCTGGGCAAGTCAGCTAACCTTTGTGTGCCTTGGTTTCTCATCTGCAAAATGAGGATCATCATAACACTCACCTCCTGGGGTTGCTGTAATGATGAAATGAAAGAATGCGCTATGTGGAACTTAGAACCATACCTACTACAGTATCTGGCACACAGGACAAGTGACTAACACATGTGAGCTATACTTCATAATAATCTTTTAGTTCATATTCCTAATGGGTTACCTGCAGGGTGGGGCAACAGTAGGTTTACAGTTGTCAATAGTGAATCTGTTAGATAAGTTTTGGAATAACTATAATGGCATACCACTAAGCCATTAAAAATTAAGACAATGATATATGCATTACTAGCTCAGTGAACTTTAAAATATTACATATCTTCTTGGTACCAGATTCCTCATCTGTAAAATGGGGATTAAAAGAACACTGATCTAGTGCTTTACCTAGCTTGTTTAGCTATTTTTACTGTGATAGGAAATGAAAAACTTATGCTAATGAGTTTCCATTCACATGTGCCCCTTTTAAAAACCCACATTGCTACATGCTTTTAAAAAATATTTCAAGATCAACATTCAATTTGGCCATCAATCACATTAACAAAAATATGACTCTAAGATCACAAAGGCAATGAATATCAAAGTTGAAAATAGGGAATTCCTGCAACTTGTAGCCTGTTTTTTAAAAAGTCCTATACATATCCACAACCTAAGCTTGTTTATTCACCTATATATGTAGAAAAAAGCAGTGCTGGAAGATAGAACCAGACTGGTCTGGATGCCTGTGGCACTGAGACAGGCTCCAACAAGAAATCACCTAGATTACAGTGACAAAGGGAACTGGTATCACTACTTAATTGAACAACAAAACAATTTACACAAATATTTATATATATATATATATGCTATGTATTTGTTAGCGCCATCAATTTTATTATTGTACAAACATTTATTTTGTTGCTTTAAGTAGCTGAAACCAACCTGCCATGGTCTTTCCCAATCAAGTGGAATAGGAAAGGCTCCAAGCCATGTTCCTAGAAAACTAGAAAGTGTAGTGATCTGGAGACTATTCTCCCAAATGGATGTAACTCTGTAAAACACAAACATGTAAATCACTGGTGATATATATCTCAGCTGCTGCAGAAGCACAAATTAACACTATGCATACATATTCTGTTCATTTAAAACAGACACCTCAAACTAACATATTTACCATGAACTATTAACAATTAATTGGCAAGAAGATAAGCGTTTTTCTGTTGGAAAGCTAACCATATGCACAGAGTAAAAGCAGACGACATTAAAGAGCATTGCAGTGAAATCTAAGTCTTCCTCCTGCCCTTATCATCACTACTAGTTCCTTTCCCTACAAACTGCTATTACCAACTTATTATATATATCCTTCCAGAAATATTTTATGCATGCACAAATTTTGTCTAGAATTATATATGCATATTTGCATATATGCACACATATGTATATATCCTTCAAAACAAAACTCAAAGCATCGTGATATAAACCCGGTTTTGCTGTTGTTATCCCTTAATAGTTATAATAGTACAGTAAACCTCGATATAATAGACTAATTTGGGCGAGGGGGTGTCCATTAAAATTGAAAGTCCGTTGTATAATAAAATAGGTTTTCTGAATGCGTATTTTAAAAAATTAACAAATTAGTTTACCTGTTTTTACTTATGTAGACATGTTTGTGTAATTAAAATTAAGTGTGTATGAAAAGTTTCACTTCACAGAAAAGTTTTCTATATGTATTATAGCAATTTTAAATTTATACTGAATAGGTGTGACCATGTGTTAACTGTTTGCCACACACTGTTTATGAGAGGTGACCCTTGGACTTAAACATGTATAGTTGTAGATATGTAATATTTATTTATGTCAGGAAAATTAACTACAGTGTGTTTTCCAACATAGGACCCCGTGATTTTCCCATTTTTATTTAGTGTGACGGCAGAAAGACAAAACTACCAGTCTCTTAGTAGGTCTTGATTTCAGCCCGCTGTGTGGAACATCAGTGTGGTCACAGGAGAGTGAAGCCCCACCACAATGCAGTAAGTGCACTCCACATATTCAATTGTTTAACATGCAGGACTGTTATAAAGTTTATGAAGAGCAGTTTCTTTCAGCTAGTGTGGTACAAGGGAAAAAGATGTTTTGTGAGATGGTTTCTTTCATTAAAAATAAGCCAATTATTACACCAAAATGTTCACTGAATTAAAGAAGCCCCAAATGACAAGTCAGTTCATAAGCCAATCCATCAACAGGCCATCTCGTTATTCCCCTCCCTCACCTACACAAAATAAGAGCTTCAGCTTGTTCTTGTTGAAAAGGGGCTGGAAGAAGGCTGGGGCTAATCATCATATATGCAAATTTGTGTTACTTGATGGGCTTTATTGTTCTTTATTTTAGGTAACACCTACAAATGCAAGTCATTTTCTTCAACTAGCATTCAATAGAACAGAGATATGTTCCAAGCTTAGGAAAAAACTGGTGAATTGAATGTAAAAAGAGAATTGTACTGTTCAGGCAATTTAAAGGATTTTCTAAGGTAACTTTTGACTCTATGTGGCTGACAAGTGAGTTTTTAGGGCTGTCTTGCCATTTCTTTTCACCTTGCTCACACTTCACATGGGCAGGTTGCCCACACCACCTATTTGCTCAGATACAATGAGAGAATTATCTTTGAAGCTGTCATCCCATCTTAACTGGCACCATTTTTCCTGTCTTGAAGATGCATTTCAAGGATTGTACGTTATTTTCTAACCAGTTTTCTGTAACATGGAGGAGGAGAGAATGGAGGCAGGGAAAGGGAAATGCTACCTCTACAATTTAATCAGTAATATTCAGCTGAAATTTAATAAATGATGGTTCCATAAATCAAACTTTAAAAAATTTTGACCAGGGCTATGCATCCCATTAGAAATCAGATGAAGCTACTGTAGCATAGTCTGCCCCCTTGGCAGAACCCACTAGGCAGTAGCCCTGGTAGACTGATAGAAAGTAAACAGCCCTGCCCTGGCCGGGGGGCTCAGGTGGTTGGAGCATTGTTTGGCACACCTAAAGGTTGTGGGTTCGATCCCCAGTCAGGGTTTGTATGGTAGTCAAGAGATTGATGTTTCTCTCTCACTTCAATGTTTCTCTCTCCCCCCCCTTCCTTTCTAAGATCAATTAAAAAAACCAACAAACATATCCCTCTAAGATCAATTAAAAAAAACAAACATATCCTTGAGTGTGGATTAAAGAAAAAAGAAAAAAAAGCCTTGATGGGGATTCAGGGAAACTGTCACGAGAGAGAGAGAGAGAGAGAGAGAGAGAGAGTGTGTGTGTGTGTACACCTATTCTTCAAATTAGAACTTTAGTTTGGCAGCGTCTATCAACTTCTTTTGATCTATGAACTCTATTCTTCTATTCCAAAAACCTAGTCTACAGAAACCCTTGCACAAGTATGCAAAATTACATGGTACAAAGATTTTCATAATATCATTTATAATCACAAAAACGTGATAATAACCTTCAATAGTAAACCAGTTATATAACTCATGGTACATGGAATACTTGTAATAATGATTAACTGCCCAACATTCACCTCATCCTCGATGATTAGACTAATTAAATACTGGCAATCCCATTCTCCTTCCCAATAATTAGTTTAGGGAAACTCAAAGATGAGAGCTGCTGCCAGCCCAAGAATGAGAACCAGGAGGACCAGTGAGAAGTACAGCCACACCTTGACTATCTGTATCTAGAACCACACAGCTTAGTATGTGAGATAATCCGTTTCCTTATAAACTGAAGTTTTCCTTTACTTATAGATTAAGATATAGTAATTTATATTCCCACTGGCACTATCAAAGGACACTATCAAGATAGTTAAAAGATGACACACAGAAAGGGAGAAAATATCTGCAAATCATGTACCTGATAAGGGACTTGTATCTAGGATATATAAAGAACTCTTACAACTTAATAATAAAAAGACAAATAACCCAATTAAAAAATGAGCAAAGGATCTAGAGAAATTTTTCCTAGGAAAATACACAATGGCCGATAGGCACACGAAAAGATGTCTGACATCATTAGTCAGTAGGGAAATGCAAATAAACCACAATGAGATAACACTTCATACTCACTACAATAGCGATAATAAAAAAATCAGATAAACAACTGTTGGCAAGGATGTAGGGGAACTGGAGCCCTCATACACTGCTATGGGCATGTAAAATGGTGCAGCCACTTTGGAAAACAGATTGGCAGTTCTTCAAACAATTAAACATGGAGTTACTATATGACCCAGTAATTCCACTCAAGAGAAATGAAAACATATGTCCATACAAAACCCTGTATACAAATGTTTATAGCAGCTTATTCATAATAACAAAAAGTGGAAACAACTCAGATGTCCATCAACTGATGAATGGTGGTATATATCCACACAATGGAATATTATTCAGCCATTAAAAGGAATTCAGTACTCATACATGCTACAACATGGATGACACTGGAAACCATTAAGCTAAGTGAAAGGAAGCTAATTACAAAAGATCACATATTACATGATTTCATTTTTATGATGTGTCTAGAATAGTCAAATCTATAGAGACAGTAAATAGGTTAGTGGTTGCCTAGCGATGGAGAAGAGGGGATAAGAAGTGATAGCAAAAGGGTATAGAGTTTCTTTTAGAGGTGATGAAAATGTTCTGAAGCTGACCGTGGTGATTGCTGCATATATCTGTGAATATATTAAAAACCATTGAATTGTATATATATATTTTTTAACTATATCTTTATTGATTTCAGAGAGAGGAAAGGAGAGGGAGAGAGAGAGACAGAAACATCAATGATGAGAGAGTCACTGATCGAACCCACAACCTGGGCATGTGCCCTGACTGGGAATCGAACCCCAGTCGCCTGGATCCTAGGTGGACGCTCAACCGTTGAGCCACGCCTGGCCGGGCTTGAATTGTATACTTTAAATAAGTGAAGTGTACTGTATTTGAGTTCTATCTCAATATTATTTAAAAAGTTCATCTCCCAGTTACCTCAGTTCCCCTCCTGTGTATGAGCCACAACCTCCACATCTGGTCTTAACTTTCTGTTAGATTTCCAACAACCCTCCTTTACCACTTTATAATAGCTTACGAGAGGCAACCCTTCCCACATCTACTACCAAAAGCAAACTTCAGGTTTTTTCCAAGGAAAAGTGCTATATTTATTATAATATTTATGTCTTTCTTAACATGTTTAACATGCATAAAACTGCCCCACCATTTTTATTAAGTTCCCATTTTTCTTTATGTGTTTTTTATTGTTCAAGTTTGCATAGTGCAGGGATTTTTCGGGCTGCATATGCCATATTATAGCAGAACTAAATATAGAAATCAGGTATCTTCCCCCAGTTACACTATCACAGAAATAGAATTCAAAGCTGGATAAATCACCCATCGAAACCAATAAGGTTTCAACCAGTTTTCACTGTTTAGAATTTTCAAACTAAAATGCTAAAAGAAATTAATGCCATTTGGGATACTGTGGTAAAAATGTGGGGAAAACTTTTCAATAATGACACTTTGTTTTCTAGAGACTTTATGAACACTAGATGGTTCTAAAGGGGGAACAGTGTTCATTTGGAAAAGAGAAAGTAACTTATGGAGCCTCACTACCCATCAGGCATCCTCTGCTCTGGTTGAGCCATTCCCTTCCAAATCACACAAAAAACATGTTCACTTCATTTTCTATGGTTTCATTCATTCCCCCAGCATGAGGCATCTTTCCCTTTCCCCTTAGTCTCACCAAATCTCATACTCCTGATCCAAGTCCTTCACAGATCACCCCACCTCCAGCTCATTCTTCAGTGGTTTCCTACCCCTCTGGATTCCTACAGTACTTACTGTCTGATTTACACAATTTTAGCCTCACATTGTTTGCTCATTTCATTCTTGTCCTTTGGCCATACAAGCTCCTCAAGGAGACAATCATGGCTAACACTTCAGAATTCACACAGACACACAGACGCACACACACAAAGAATCCACACACAGCTTGCACAACATGGCACACAGAGTAGGAGCTCAAGAGTTTTTGCTGCTAGGTGATAAACAAGACAAAATTATGGGCACCAAGGAACTTTCTAGTTTTATTAGTTACGACTCAACCATTTCTGATGCAAATCATCTCAATGCCTTTTAAGAAGCTAAAATTTTAATTTAGCTATGCTGAAAACATATATGGCTGCTAAGAAAATAAAATCCTATATAACTTGCACTCAGATGTCACACCACAAAAGAGGCTAAACAAGAAATGGTAGTTGTGACACTAAACATTTTTAGATTGCAACCCCAGTTCTACATTATAAGATGTATGGAAGTAATTTTATCTGTTACAGTTTTATCACAGTGACAAATTATCCCTGAGAAGTGGTTTTCAAAGCTTTCCTTTGGTAGCAGAAACCTGTTTTCAAACAAAAGGCTAAATGGAATTGTACCATACCGAAAAATGCGGACGGAGCTGATCTTGCTAAAGTAGAGGGAGGGGACTGTAGTTCTCCCTGCTTGGATCCCCCTCAAGTGCATACAACTCCTTCCCTCTCTCCAGTCCCCAACTGCAGTGGGCCCTTAAGGCATGTCTGAGAGCCATAGAGAGCTGAGAAAGACTCATGGAACAATTATCTAGCTGCCATGAACAGAAAAATACATTAATTTTCAAACATCACTAAAATATAAAGTTAAAATTAAAACTTACCCATTTCTACTGAAAACTCTTAACCAGGCTTTGATGTTTGGTCCCAACAAACACAAACAAGGTACAGTAGTAAAAGTAGACAAAAACACTGCAAATAAAAATGTTTCCAACACCAACCTAGGGGGAAAAAAAGTCATTATTTTTTTTAAAGTATTAAAGGAGTACATATACACAAATACATAATCTTTGTTACTTAAATAGATTTAATATAAAAATATTTTCTTGTACTTTACTTTGAAAGGTAACATGAGTCCTACCAAAATGATGACTATGACAAATATAAACTATAAAAAATAATCTAGCAAATATCTGGTTTTAATGATAAGAGTTCAGAAGTGTTAAATATCCTATGATCCTTTCTGTTCAAGGCAAGTAAACCCTATTTCTAGATAATTAACTTTCTTCCTCAATAGTCTCTGGAACTTTCTCTGCAGCCAGTTCAACTTTAGCTTATGTCAGAGCCACTTAGAAAGCTGGATAAACTAAAGATTGGGGGACCCCACCTCTAGAGTTTTTGACAACCTGAGGCCTGAGAATTTGCATTTCAATAAAATGCTGATGCTGGTTTGGAACCACACTTTGAGCACCATTGCTCTAAACATTCCTTCTACTCTAAAATAGATTAGATAGAAATATCCATTTACCATTACAAAGGTCTCGTCCTCCCTTCTCTAGAAAAGAATTAACTGTTAATTTAATGTGTATATATAAAAAAAGATGTGTAAATACACATAACTATATACATAGTTATATTTGTGTGTATATATTTATATCATCACTCATTTCACCATGATCATCAATCACTGCTAAAGTTTCCCAAACTATAATGAATGTTATGTAAGAAATACTCATAAATTTAATTTGCTCTAATTTAAAATTGGTCAGTTTTGAAAAAGTGTTGAGTTAAATTTTACCTTTAAACTATAAACATTAGCTTATTAAATATTTAAATACAGGAATCTACTGACTTTTCTTAAGAAAACAAGCACTTTTTTCAAGCACTTCAGAATCACATCTACTAAGAACTGATAGGCTAATAGTACCTAACTTACCCCTATCACTATAGTAAGTTCCCTTAGAGGCTCTAAGGGTCACACATTTATTGGTATAGTATAGTTTCTCATCTACCTCCCACCACCCCCACATGCAATTGTGTAATAGAAGGCTAGGTAAAGGGAGCATTTGATGAATTAAGTTATTTCAGTTTATAAAAGAATAACACCGCTAAGGAAGGGCAATGATGTATCCTTCCATGATCCAATAATCAAACACACTGCAGTCTTTCTCTAATCAATAGAATTAGTCCTTTGTTTAGTAAATGGGTGTTTTAAAATATAATTGCCTTCAGGTAGAAATTTCAGACTTACTCTATTAATGGTGCTCCATATAGAACAAAAATTACATGAAAGACGAAACAAGACATAAGAAAGTAGATACAGCATTTCAAAAATCTGGTTACCTAAAAACAAAAACAAAAAACTGAATGAAGACTCAAGAGAATGCCTAAAGGACAGGACATATTTCCATTTTATTTATAAACATAACTTATTCCCATGTGTGAACAACTGAATGTTCTTTGGATTTGGGTATCCAGAGATCAGATCACGTCCTGTGCACAGTCAGGTGCACAGCACTCAATACAGCCCAGTAGAAAAGCTTACAAGGCAAGTATTACGGCTCCCCGATATTCTACCCACCCAACTAGCACTATAGTCAAAAAGGATTTCTGTTTCTATGGTATGTATTGAGCTATGTTGTTAATCAGTATTTATGAACTATTTACCAATAACTGCTAGATTACAAAACACAAACATGGTCCTTATTATGATGATACATGAAATATTTGCTATATTATTAATTTCACAATTGATGCATGGCAAGGATCTATCAAATGTTGTGGACAGCCTTCCAGCAAGTAACAGGCTACTAATTTGAAAAAAATATCAGGTTCTCTGTCGTCACTGTAAATAACGCAACTGAGTACTTGACTAATGCTTTATTTTTTCATTAAAAGAAACACTATCTCTATCTAAAAATCACTTATCAAGAAATGAGCCTTACCTTGTATGATAATGAACTTCTTTTAGTTGAAGCATTTGGTTTCACCACGAAATATAATACTAGATTGACGGCAGTTACAAAAACAGAACAGATGCACAACCATGTCAAGTGTGTCTCCAATATTGAGAAGTTCTCCAAGAAGAATGATGGAATGAAGATGCTTAGGATAATTGAGAATATGCATAAAAGATGGGTATACAGCAGTCTCTTGATATCAGTATTTTTCATGTTTTCTTTAGTGGCTGTCTAATGAAAAACAAATTAAGAAGAGCATATGCATAAATGCTCACATAGACTAACATGGTAAACAGCTCTCAGAGCCTAAAAGGACAAATTTTCTAATTTCTTAAATATGTGACTAGTTTCTGCAAAAAGCGCATGTACTAGTACCAAATAAGCAATTCCTTTTCTCTTCTTTCTTTCTTTTTTTTTGGTCAAAGTCAGAGGTGAAAACAAACTGCATGGATTAATGATCTGTCCCTGTTGTAAATATAACCTATACATTCTAGAAACCCCATGAATACACTTTGGCTAACCTGTTGGCAATTTTACCATTGTGGATCCTTGTCTAATAATCACAGTAGTTCACAACATCCAGCAAATGCCAAGTGACACCAAGTGCACACTTGAATACTCAAATGGTGGCCAGTGTAATCAAGAGAGTTCAAAAAACATTATGCTAAACTAAGGGATCCTAGCGCTCCAGAAATACCAAAATGACAATGTTTGTTACAGATGCTAGATTCCAATCAAAAGGAGCACACAAATGGAAGAAAATAATTTACTTTCTATATTACACACACACACACACACACACATCTTTATAAATTACCTAGCAGAGAGCTTATACATAGCACTAATGTTAAGGGTCTTATTAAAGTAATAGTCCACATGTAACTGTGGTTACTCCAGAATATATTTTACATCTCTAGCACAAAAGGGCAGGCCCATGCCTTATCCTAACAGCTTTCCTTTAATTCGCACTGTAATTTTCAAAGACAAATATTTCACTGATAAGGAAACAGGCTAAACAGGTTAGGGAACACGCCCAAGGTCGTAAGCTTCCACCTGCTACCGGCATTTCAAATAAAAGCACACATGAGGGGTCCAGAAGAGTATGAATGCCAAGAAGGGAGAAAGGAAAACTATCTCAGAGATCCTACTCTCAGCCGAGGGGCGGGGAAGCAGGTCTGCAATACATTAATTCAACAAACACCCTCCCCCCCCGTACATTTTTCTCTGGGCCACTCTCAGAATCCCAACTGACACGAGCAGGTTCGGCTGTAATCCAGTGAGCAGCATCCAAATCCCAGTGCTTACTGAGTCAATGAATGAACGGAAGGATGAATGAATGAAAGAGGGACCAAACAAACAAAGGAGAGGGGGTCAAATGGTGGCCCCTCTGGAGACCAGCCCCGTCAGGTCCTGGCGAGCGAGCGGAGGGCACCCATTAGGCGCCCCTCAAGGGCGGGGGGGGCTACGGCCCGGAGTCCACGGTCACACCTGGCCCGGGTCCGCAGGCTGGGCGGGGCTGAGAGAAGGCCCCTCCGGCCGGCTCCCGGGGACTTCGCGGGACTCGCCCGGCCCCAACATAAGCTGGGTCGCGCGGGACTCCGCCCAAAGCTCAGCGAGCGGGAGCGAGGCAGCGGGGTACGGGCTGAAACAGCCCAGGCGTGAGGACCGGGACAAACGGACAGACACCGAAAGGCGGAGCCGGTCCGTCAGAGGGGCCCTGGTCACGCGCGAAGGCTGGCGCGGGTGGGCCAGGGGCACGGAGGCTCGCGGCCCCCGGGCAGTTGGCAGTGGTCGCCTGCGCCCCCGGAGGCCGCGTGCCGGACTGTTCGGCGGGGCTTACCGAAATCTCCCGCCAGGAGGACGGCGAGGGGCGCTACCACCTCCCACCATCTGGCGCGCCTGGCCCGGCGACCCTTCGCGCAGGCGCAGGCTTATGGGGCGGAAACCCGAAGCCGCGCAGCCAATCGCAGAGGTGGGGAGGCGGGCAAAGGAAGCAGCCCCGCCTACCGCCCGAGTGTATTCCGCCCTCGGCTTTCCAGGTGTCGGATTGGCGGGCGGGGGGCGGGGAGGCCGGAAGAGGTTGTGTGTAACCCGGAAGGGGCTTCCGGCCCCGGCCGTATTGCTGTTTTCCAGCCGCCGCTCACCGCGACGGAGGGAGCCTCGCGGGAGGATGGTGTGCGAGAAATGTGAGCGAGGGGCCGTGCCTGCGGGAGGCGGGAGGAGCCCCTGACTGGAGCCCCCGGGAACTGCGCCCTTTCTTTTCCCTCGTCCGGCGCGGGTCTGGGTCTAGCCTCCGCCCTGCCCTGGCCTTTGACCATTCCTGCCCACCCCGAGCGTCGTATTGTTCTGTGTTGCATTTAGAGTGCTCTCAGCTTTTGCGCCTCTTTGTCTGGGTTGCTCCCCCCAACCCAGGATTTCATCCCATACAGCTTCTTGACCGGCTCCCTCCCCCACAGACCCGAGAGGTAGGAATGAACCTTAAAAGCCACTTCTACATTTGCCAGGTTTAAGCAAATAAAAATACCGACCCCCAATTCAATTGGAATTTCAGGTAAACAACGAGTAATTTTGAGTATAAGTATATTCCATGCAATATTTAGGACTTGGTTCTGTTTGCTGCTCCTTACTATTGTAAGGAGTGCTTTGTCCTGAAGCACTTACTTTTAGGACATTCTTTCAAAACAAAGTATTCGTTGTGTATCTGAAGTTTAAAGTTAACTGGGCACCCTATATTTTATCTGACAACCCGAAGTCAGCGTCGCACCCAGTGGCCACCGGCGTTTTGCATGAATATGTGCTGTGTTGAGGCAAGGTGGCAGGAGAGCCTCACCGCCTCAGCGCAGATGTCACCGGCTTTTAGAAGATTCCGTCTTCTATCCTTGCCGTCCAGTGATTCTAATGCCAATCTAGAAGACAGGATTTTCTGACCTTGCACACTGTCTATATGTTTAAAAATAACTGTCATATGCCCAAGTTTCTTTTTCCCCAGGCTGGACACACCTGGCACGTCTGTGACAAGGTTTCAAGTCCTCTAGTCCTGATTACCGTCTAACATAATCCATTTTGTTTATATCCTCCCTGTAGAAAAAACTTTGAACACAGACACCCGTGAGTTTGAATCACAGATCTTACATTAGATAAGAGACTGTCCATGGACAAGCTACTTTAATAAAGTCTCGCCCGGCCGGGCGTGGCTCAGCGATTGAGCACTGACCTAGGATCCGGGAGATGGTGGTTGGATTCCCCATCAGGGCACATGCCAGGGTTGCGGGCTCATCCCCAGTAGGGGGCGTGCAGGAGGCAGCCCATCAATGAGGACTCTGTCGTCATTGATGTTTCTCTCTCTCTCTCTCCCTCTCCCTGAAATCAATAAAGATATACTTTAAATAAATAATTAATTAATTCACAGTGTGCAGAGAATACTTTTGGGTTTCTGTATTTGGAGGCTGGCATTCAGGACCACCCTCCACAATTTATCTTTCCAACTTCATTTTCACTCACCTTACTCCTTTCACACCTGGGCCAAGCCGAACCATTTTGCGTGCTCATGTGTACACTGAGCTCTCCTGCCCTTCCCCAGGATGTGTCCTTTTTCTCGTTTGTCTCAGCTCCTTTCCTCCGTTTCTCTTCACACCCCCATTGCCACATACCCTCTCTGTTGCCTGTCCTACGGAACTTTCCCGGATTTCCCTAGCTGAGGGGTTTCTTTCTCCATGGAATTTCTCCTAGTATGTTAGCTCTCAAATTATGTTAGCTCTCAGTTATTAGACTTTTTATTTTCTAGCTTATATTTTTGTTGAATGGTTCTTAACTTCTTTTTTTGTTTTGTTCTCTGAACCCTTTTAAAATCTGATGAAAGCTATAGACTCTTACCAGAGTCTATAAATAAAGGGAATATATACAAAAGGTTTGTGTACAGTTTCATCTAGTTCATGCGTCTCCTAAGGACCACCTATACAATGCAAATTAAGGACTGCTGTTAGAGAAATCAGAAAGCTCCTTGAAATTTAGAACTTTAACTCCTCAGGTTTTTTCCCTCTGTATTTTGTATAATGGTCTATACATGGTATAAATGATTTATAGATGTTTGGTAAATATTTATGGAATGAACAGACTTACCAGATATTTTTACCTGATTTGTTTAAAGTATACAGAGGAAGCCTATTATAAGCCTATTATACTACAAATTTTACTAAGAGTCAGTTATCCATTGCCCACAGTTAGTATCTTAAGTCTCAGTTCACTGGCCCCGACCCCAGCATTAACAGGCCCCTACTGTAATATGACTTTTGATACCATTGTGAACTTTGGCACAACATAGTATATTTATTAGATAGTAAATACTAATTGCTTTATTTTTATTATCTTGTTATACTAGGTGAAAAGAAACTTGGCACTGTTATCACTCCAGACACATGGAAAGATGGTGCAAGGAATACCACAGGTATTTTTCCTTTCAGAACACAGAAGTTGGATCAAATACTTCTTGTGAATAATGTTTTAGCTTTAAATTATTTGTAAAATGAAATGTTCTATGTACAAAATATTTCATCTATTAAACATTAAATTATACCCGATCCCCCAACAATTTAATATCTTATTTAGTTCTCTCAGTTACATGTTGGGGTTCCTAATTTTGTAGGCAGGAATTAGTACAATAATTAGATTTTCAAGCAATGAGTATATCATAGTAATTGATTTGACTCAGCTTAATTACAGGTGGTATCTACTCCCCTTCTCCTTACTTGATTTTTATATTGTTAAATCACTTAAATGTTTTCACCCTCTTAATAATTTTTTTGGTGTAAGATAATTTATTATAGGCTATCCAGTATCACCTTCCTAAGCATTAAATACAGTGCAAATGTCAAAGGGAAGGAAAGAAACATTTTCACTGTGTTTAACGTCAATGGCACCAAAGAAGTGGTTTCTAGATTTTACAGTGGATAAAGTAAATGTAGGTCCATTCCTAAAGTCCTGCTTTGAGTCTGAGAAATAAAATGATGGTGTTTTATCTAAATTTTTATTTTTTTATTGTTTTCCTAATAATTTTTTATTAAGTAATGTCTTAAGAACCTGGCTATTAAATGAAGAATTTTGAAAATTTTGATATAGGCTAGTCTAGTGGTAAGAAGTAAAAAAATGAACTTTTTAATTGTAGGTATGTATTATATGGGAAATGTGTAGAAATAACTCACTGAAATACATGTATGTTTCGATACAGAAAGTGGTGGAAGAAAGCTGAATGAAAACAAAGCTTTGACCTCAAAAAAAGCAAGGTAGGTATAAGAGCACCAATAGAGCAGTAATACATAAAATTACCACTCTTTTAACATTAAGCTTACTGAAGTGTACATCATTCTATTGTGATAAAACAGTTAGGTAGTTCCTAGCATGCAAAGCCAAGCTATCTTATAACTTGCTGATTTCACCCTGTTCTTCCTCACTGTGTCTGTACATGAAGATATTAGTGCTATGGTAGTTTCTTTTTATAATTTCACCAGAAAGCATGACCTTTATTTTTTCTAGTTGTTAATTATCCTGCAAATTAGGCAACAGAGAAATGTGGAAAGAGCATAAGTTCTGGAGTCAGACCTCAGTTTGAATCTAGACTCTATCCCTGTCAAGCTCTGTGACCTTACACAAATTAAGCCAGTTTCTTAACTTTCCTGAACTTTACTTTTCATCTGAGAATGGGGATAAAAATATCTCGTACCTTAAAAACAGTTTTTGACACCAAGCTTTATTATATCCAGTCTTAAAAATCCCATGAACCCTTCCAGCTGCCACCCCATTTTCTTGCTTCCCTTCACAGCAAAAGTTTTCAAAAACCTTATCTAGACATTTTCTCATTGTCTTTAAGTTCCATCCTCTCCTTCAGCCATTCTATTCAGGCTTTATCCCAGCTACACCCCTGAAACTGCTCTTACTAAGATCACACACGACCTTTAAAACTGATGTCTACTTCTTTATTCTTACCTTACTTAACCTTTTAACAACTCTTTATTTTTAGGACCCTTTATTCTTTTGGCTCTGGGATACCACACTCTTCTTTTCTCCCAACTCACTGGCTGTTTCTTCTCAGTCAAATGCCCCTGGACTCAATCCTAGACTTTTTCTTTCCCTTTTATAAATTTATAATTTCTCCTCATTGACTTTAGTCTAATGGCTTTAAGTTCAAACTATCTATTAATGACTCTCAAATGTCTATCTCTAGTTCTGACTTCTCTGAGTTCCAAACATACATCCAGCTGTCTACTTGACTTATCCAGTCGATGTCTAGCCGTTAACCTCTTTTTCTTTCAGCCTTCTAATCAGTTTTCTCATCATTGCACCACTGTCCAGTCCAGGTGTGCAGGCCTAAAAGCCAGACTGCCTCAGTGGTTCCCTCCTTTTCCTCACTTCCCGTACCCATCCGCAAGTTCTTTGGTTCTGCAACCAAAATATAGCTGAATCGACCTGTTTTTGTCCATCTCACTGCTACTACCATGTTCCAAGCCATTGTTTTTTCCTACTTGGATACCTAATAACCTTTTATCTCCCTGCTTCCTCTCTATTTCCCTACTGTTAAGTCTTATAGTAACCAGAACTGTCCTTTAAATGGTATGTGACTTCTTTGCTCAAAACCTCCATTGGTTTTCTTGTTACGTTGAGTAAAATCCAAGCCCCCTGCTATGTTCTTACAAGGTTCTCCTTGACCTGGCCCCTCCCACCTCTCTGGCTTCCTGTTACAGCAGCCCCTGCATCAGATGTGCCAAGCCCACTCCCACTGGAAGAGGCTTGTGCTTACTGCTCTCTTCTTCTAGAGCTCACCCCTCAGAACTTCCATAGCTAGCTGCTTCTTATTACTTGGGTCTCAGCTGAAATGTTACCTCCTCAGAGAGGGTCCCTAACCAGCATCTACAGTAATGCCTTCCCTCCTTCCCCTCGTGTCTGCCACAGTCTCCCATTTGAATTTTCCTACAACACGTATTACTGTCAGAAAAGTGTGTTTGTTTCACTGCTTATTGTCCATCTCCTTTCACCGGAATGTCATCTTGATGAGGGCAGAGGCTTTGTCAAGTTCATCTTTGGTATTTAAAACAGTAGCAGGCATATAGTAGGCACTCAGTATATATTTGCTATAAATAAATACCTGTTTGATGACATCCCAAGGATTAGAAATAAAACTAAAGCTTTTATTATATCCAGTGCCTGGCACATAAATAGCACAATAGACGTAATCTTTTAAGTGATGAGCAGTGTCATACTATGTATTGTTGACTGATTTATTGATGTCTTCTAAGACCATTCAGTTATATTGACTACATTGTTATTTTTACAGATTGTAGAATTTAGATACTTGCAGTTCCTTTATGCTCCCAAATTTACTGCAATATCATTAAAAAGGAGCTATTACTTTTGGGTTCTCTAAATATCTCACTTTGGAAAGTGTACTACTGTATTGCATTGAATCTAAGATACCATCATTTATAAGATGCATCATTAAGAAAGAAAAAGCTCTGCCAGTTAATTGTGAAGATTTCAGAGATATTAAAATGTATATCTTAGAATGATAAAGTATGGTTTTAAGAAAAAGTAATCTCAGACATACAGGCTGAAACAAATTGAGCTTATTGAAAAGGATAGTGCCTATCTTCCCTTGTGGAGAGTAAAGTGACAAGTTATTTTGCACTCAGTCACTGTAATGTGGCATTTTTATGGAGTATGATCCTTTTTATCCAAAGAGATTAGATCAGTTAATTGAAGACACCAATGAAAGTAGGCAATCTTTAAAAATACACATACTTTATTTTTTTTAAATTAAAGCACATAACTCTACATACACTCATCAGTCATTTGGTATCAGGACAAAGCTTTTTGAGTATGAGCTCTTCATATTTTCCTCATATAATTCATAACCAGAATATATATTTCCAGTATCTTTAAAGTGGAGCTAGAACTGACAGTTGCAGAGTGTCAGATCCTCCCATGTAATGCCTTTTCCCCAATTTTTAACAGTTGTCTTACCCATACCTAAATCAATAGCACTTTTAGTGATTCACACTTAACTAGTCATCCTAAAGCATTCACTTAGTTTTTAATGGACTCAGTCACTCATTTTGCACTCCCATTTTATTAGCTTCCATAATATTTTTATCAGACATAGCTTGACAAATACATTGGCTATAAACAGGTTTGGGATTAAGTACAACTGACTCTATAAGCATACAGCTTGCATGGAAGGGGTAGAAGTGTGCAGGCGTTTTATAGAGTAGCCAACTGAAAGAGTTTGATAGAGGAAATGGAGAGCATGGATTAATCCCATTTGTTGCTTAAGTGAGGTTATTTAAGAGAGTTTCTATGGTATTATACATTTTTCTTTCTTCAAAAAAATTCTCTAGATTTGATCCATATGGAAAGAATAAGTTTTCCACTTGCAGAATTTGTAAAAGTTCTGTGCATCAACCGGGTTCTAATTACTGCCAGGGCTGTGCCTACAAAAAGGGTAAGTTTAATACCATTTTTCTATTCATATCAAATCTATTTTATTTGGTACTAATTTGGATAATATAGAAAAAGGAATCGTCAAATCCTTTTTTTCCTAAGGCAAAATAGAACTTGTTCATCGTTAAAAGTATATATTTTCTTTTCTGATGCTGTAAAATTACGGTTTTAGCTTCAGAATTGACTTAAATTAACCAAACCATTGGTATTAGATATTTATTGGTCTTAGTAGTTAGCTGATATTGTGATTTGATGTTCACATGTTTTCTTTCGTTTTAGGCATCTGTGCAATGTGTGGAAAAAAGGTTTTGGATACCAAGAACTACAAGCAAACATCTGTCTAGATGTATTGATGAAGTTTCTGGCTTTCTGTGATTTTGCTTTCTGTTTTAAATTTTCAAGGCATATCATAGATTTTCAAATTACAAAATAACATGTTTTAAGACAATTAAGTTTAAAGCAGGGAAACGGATTCATTCTTTTGCTCTGTAGAAGTTCTGAATAGCAGCAATGTAAGTAGTCTGCCTTCCAAGCATCTTACTTAACTAGAAGAAGTGGCAAATTTAACAACAAAAATGTTGTCCCAGTTCTGTATGCACTTTTTATTTAACATTAAATAAGAATTATAATTCTTATTATCTTCTCCCTCTACTTACTTATATATATTGCAAAAGCGACAAGGGGATTATTGATATTTTCTCAGAACTTGGCATCCAGACTTATAATTTTCCCCTCATTCCCTTGTTGGTTGCCTAGTTCTTAGAATCAGCAGCCCTTAATTAGTTTCAGCTAACAGGATATTTAAGTAGCTGAGACCATTATTGCTGAATGGTTCCTTAGAAATTAGCCCAGACCCAAATCAAACACAAGTTGTATTTATGATTTTTAAAAATTTGTTCTTGAAGCCATAGTGCTAATAATACCTTTCATATGAAAATAAGAACACGGGGACACCCCATGTATATGCAAATGAATACACTGGATTTCAGGAAAATGCATGTTACACACATGACCTTGAATTCACACTATTATGAAAGCCAGGAGAACAGTGTTCATTATGATGATGTAGAATGTAAATGAATCACCACTCTCTGGGAAAGCTCTTTGAAGCAAAAATGAAACTTCTATAACCTGCCTCCCCCACCACAGACACACACAAAAGAAAAAAAACAAAGCAAACGTTTTGATTCTTAAAATATATATATGTATTTATGTATGTATGTATATCTTCAAAGAAAGAGTTTTTTAATGCTACCTTCAGAGGTTTAGGACTTCTTCTTTGGAAACCTGCAGTCTGCTAGGGGAGACCAAAAAAGTATACCCTATTGCTAAGTACAGTATGTATAAATACTTATCACTATAAAATATGTAAAATAGATAATATGATGATATACGTAGTATAGATACTGCATTTTAAAAATTATGGAAAATAAAGTTTAACTGTTTATAAGTTTTTAAAATAGTATTTCTGAGATACGTTACTAATATCTAGAAAGATCACAAGGATAATGTAAAATATAATAAATAATAATACCTGTGAAGGAAGGAAGTATCTTTTTATGCTTTAATCAATTTGGGACTTTTAGTTAAAATCAACAAAAGGGACTCATAATAGGACCCAGTTAGAGAGTGGTCCAGATACGTTAAAAGTTGGGTTGGCCAACTTTGGGAGAGGTACATATCTTAGGTATTAACTGGGATCTAGACTTCCATAACCCACATTTCATATTTATGCCTTGAGTAGCCTCCTTCCATAAATGACCCAGTGATCCATAGGCTCTGCTATGAAGATTTTTGTTAGTGTTAAACCTCAGATCAGAATATAAGTATTATAAATCTTCATATTGTTGAAATAACAATATGACTGTCATACATTGAATAGAACTTATTTGATAAGAAGGAAAATCCCAAAACAAAACATGGACACAAAATACTTTTTTAAAAGAAGGCATATCAACAGAAACTATAACATTAAATAAGATGACAGAATTAAGGTCAGACGTTTTAAAGTAAATGTTAAAGTGATGAAATGAGATATTTTTTTAAATCTCAGACTGGATTCAAATATGTATTAGAAACAACTTAAATATCAATAGAACACTTCAGAACACTTATTAGAATATGTAACCAAAATGATATAAAAATTCTATATACTATATATGCAGAAGTTTGGGTATATACATAGAAACATCTGAAAGCTATTATTACTGTTTTTCCCCCCTTACGGAGTGGAACTAGGGTTAAGAAGAGATAGACTTAACCCTTTATAGCCTCATGCCAACCACCTAATACTTTTTAGCTCCAAGTTTCCTTAGCTAGGAAGTAGGAGAGTACTAATAATTTCAGTATCCTACAAATACATATTTATATATACATATGTAAGTTGTTTTGAGAATTTTAAATAGAAGTACATATATTATTCTGCACTTTGACTTTTTTTAATGTTTCTCATATTTGCTTTACCATTTTCTATTGTTACATATATTTTTTGACCCATTTGAGAGTATATTGCAGACATCACACCCTTTACCCTTCAGTGCTGTATCTGTACTTCATAAGCACAAGCAGACTGAGTACAGTTATCAAATTCAGGAACTTAGCATTGATAACAATACCCTCATCTACAGTCCCTCCTTCAGTTTCATTTGTTCAGCTGTTTGTTTTGTTACAGTATCTAGCCCAGTATTATATGTTGTTTTACCATGACTCTTCAGGCTCTCTCTGTCTTTTGTAGTATTAATGTATTTGAAGAATATAGGGCATTGGCTAGTTTGGCTCAGTGGTTAGAGCATCAGCCTGTGGACCAAAGAGTCGAGGGTTCAGTTCCTGGTCAAGGGCACGTCCTGGGTTGCAGCGTGCAGGACGCAACCAATCGTGTCTCTCCACATCGATCTCGCTCTCTTTCTCTCTCCGTCCTTCCACTCTCTCAAAATAAATGGGAATATAATGGGTGAAGATTAACAACAAAAAGAATATAGGACAGTTAAAGCATAGAACATCCCTCACTTGGGCATTTTCCATTGTTTCTTTGTTTAAATTCTAGTTGTGCAGTGTGGGCTGAAATACTCTGAGTGATGTGTCTTCCAGTGTCACATCCAGACTCGTGGAACATCCCTTTGTACCTTATTGGAAATGTTCACTTAGGTCACTTAGGTAAGATGTGGCCAGTCGCTGTGTAATTATTGTGTTTCCTTTGCGGTTAGTGGTTTATTCATGAGAAATTGTTGAGACCATGTTGAACATTTGAGACCATGTTGAACGGGAGGGGAAGGTTTGATGAGGAATAACCTGCCCCTCCTAGATGAGCACTCTTTGGTGATTCTTACCTGAAAAATATTTTTACTGTGATTTTACAAAATTGTGATTTTTCTAACTACATTATTCTTTGTGTATTTATTAGTTGTCCTTCTACTCTAAAAAAGAGGTTTCCCTTTATCAGTGTAAATGCTTTTTATCTGACCATTTGCATGTTAGCTACAGATATGATGCCTCAAATACTTGTGTATTTCCTAAGAACAAGGATATTTTCTTACATAACCATAGCCCAGTTATCAAAACCAGAAAATTAACATCAATACAGTACTGTTATCTTTTCCATATTTCACTAGTTGTTCCACTAATGGCCTTTTTTTTCTTTTAAACCTGGGCCAGGATCTAACCCAGGATAACACATTACATTTAGCTGCCATGTCTCTAGTCTCCTAGAACAATTCTTCAATCTGTCTTCTAAAAATGTCAAGGTCATGAAACATATAGGCCAGTTATTTTATAGAATGTCCCTTAACCTTAGATCCTTTGATGTTTCCAAAATGATTAGATTGAGCTTAGCATTTTTGGCAGGGATGTCATAGAAGTGATGTGTTCGTTTCAGTGCACCATCATGGCGTCAGTTGTGCCATTTCAAGGTGTTAATTTTAATCACTTGTTTTATATGGCATCTGCTGGATTTCTCTACTATAAAGTTTCTCTTTTTCTATTAAGCATTTTGTGGGGAGATACTTTGAGACTGAATACTCTATTTCTCAGCAAACTTTCACAGCCTTATATTGCATCCAGTAATGGTTCTTGGCTAATTAATTGTTATTCCGACTATTGTCAAATGGTGGTTTTCCAATTGTATCATTCCTTGTACACTTATTAGTTGGCATTCTATTGTAAGGAAAAGCTTTTTCTTTTTATCACTTAAGTTAGTATGAACTTGGATTCCTTTTTATTCTCATTTGTTTTGATGTCAAATTGTCCCAGATTTGGCCAGTGGGAAGCCTTTCAGGCTGGCTCCTGGGTCTTTTTGGCACGTTCTTACCATTTCTTGAGAAATTCCTTATTTTCCAGCACAAGTGTTCTAAGTTTATCTTATTGTTTTTCTTTTCTCCCACTTAGCCCTAGAATCAGCCATTTCTCTAAAGTTCCCTAGTTTCTTTTAGTAGAGAATGGTGTTTAGAGCCAGAGATCTGGGTCTGCTGGGATGCCATTGCCTCTAGGCCTCTTCAATGAAAGAACAAGAAAACATATATATTAAAAATTACAAGTTTTATTGATATCTCCAATTCCAATCCACCCCCACAGGGTTCTCCCTTTCCTTTCCCCATCCCACATTTATGGCTTCCTCCACAGTAGCAACCTTAGTTCCCAACATCATCAATATAATTTCTCATTTTTCATATTGGTCATGTATTTTTTAAATATAATTTTAAGTTTTTTAAAAAATCTAGGTTAGCCCACAGAAGGATTACACATGCAAATGTCACTCATCAGTCTGTTATTACAGAAAAAACTTGGAAACTTCTGTACATTTGCTGGCTCCCAGATAAACTGGGCAAATGAACAAATGGGGTTCTAAATACTTCTTTCAATTCATCTAACATTTATTGGACTCTGCTTTGTTCTCATCTAGTCAGAGTGCTGTTACTGGTCCTATAGCTTTTGCTTATAAGCAAGAAATTGATAAGTAGCCCATTAAATTAATGTAAAGTTGTAAAAGTAGGGTGTGACAATAGGAACAAGGGAAATACATTGAAAGAATAGTGATTAAAGAGAGAGGCTGGTTCAAAAGCAGTAATTCTAGCAAAATAAACTAGGAACAAGACTAAGGTGGTACTAGGAACATGGAAGTGAAGGGGGATTTAGACCTGATAAAAGAGGACCTGGCAGGATTTGTTGACTGAATTTGGGGGGAACGAGAAGACAGGTGAGTCCGAGTGGATCTCATTTAGGTGTAGTAGTGTGCGTGTCCACCAGAGGGCAGTGGTGGTCTTGGTTTTCCATCTTGCTGAAAGGTTTACAGTTTTAGCAACTTGAAGATCAAATAGAGTGGGGATCTGGGGGACATCTGTAATAGTGTCAACAACAACAACAACAATAGATGGACTTAGGTTTCCAAAAACATTGTGAACAAGCTAGACAAGACCATACAACAATAAAAATCCTAGAAAATTCATATATACACACGTGCATGTAAGTATACAAGATTTTTATATGTATATAATTTTAAAATATAGCCCAGCTGGCATGGCTCAGCAGTTGAGCATCGACCTAGGATCCAGGAGATCTGGGTTCGATTCCGGTCAAGGCACATGCCCGGGTTTCGGGCTCAATCCCCAGCAGGGGGCATGCAGGAGGGAGCCGATCAATGACTCTCATCATTGACGTTTCTATCTATCCCTCTCCCTTCCTATCTCTGAAATGAATAAAAAAATATATTTTTTGATGTATATAATTAAACTGGCAAGAAAGTAATGATGATCCTCAGAAGCCAGAAACAAAGGGAAAGTGCAAATTCAAAGGGTAAACTGACACCAAAGCCAGTGCTTGCCTTTAGGAATATCTGCCAATCCCCCAGGGTCTGAAGCCTTATTTTAACGGGCATCACACCCATGAAAGACAAAACCATGGCATGTTTCTAATGGTCACCGGACACTGACTCTTCAGAATGTAGACTGCCAGGTAGAAGGGGACAGATGCAGCCTTCATTTCCTTCTCATCTGATCTCTTAAAACCAGTATTTTAGGCTTCTTAATCTGATCCCACCGTATCTATTTATTGTATTCCGATTTCTCAAGACCCTTGACGTAAACTTCAATTTCAACCACGTTAATCTCCCATATCCTCAGTGGAGCCCCAGGAAGGTTACAAGACCTCAGAGAAGAAATGGGCGCATGGTAGGTCCCCACTGAAGTGGCCTTAGGAGGTTTGCAAAGTTTTGCGTGCCCCAGTGAGACACGGAAGCATGTCTCCTAGTGCCCAAGAGGACACTGGAGAAATGGAGGGTGCCCGGGGACCTGAGGAGTCAGGCAAACAGAGTGAAGGATGGGCCAGTAAATACCAGTGTGGGAGGAAGACGCCCTTGAGGGAAGATTCCTCCCTCCCTCCCCCTCCCCTCCTGCACCTCGGCACCTCTAAGCGCCTCCCAGGAACTAGGCTCCAGCCTAGCGAAAGGGGGGGCTGAAGTCAAGTTCACTGAGAGTTTCTGACAATGCAAAGAAACGGAAGCTTGAAATCAAAACAGGTTATATTTCTTTATATAAATGTGTGGACTACGAAAGGTACCCACTGCTTACAGCTTATATTCCAGGATGGCATTTCCCATAGAGAAGCAGGGCTCAGCTGGCCACTTAAATGTTTTCCTAACTGGTTTTGAGGTTCTAGAATCCAGATGGTGAGATGCTATCCAACATATGCCCTGAGCGCAGAGCCAGTAACCGGGGGAAAGGTTCTCTCCTGGTGGGACCATGTCCACATTCCCTGGGCTCAGAATGAAGTCACATGATGACAAGTGTGAATGCTACGTTTGGACATCAAAAAAAAATTTTTTTTCAGTATGATATTAACTGTACTTTTACTATCAGTTGATTAAGAAAACACACAAGAAAAGGCTAAGATGTATTCAGAACATTGTAAGTTAGTTTCTTTTATTCATCGCAACATCTATGCATATTTGAGAAGTAATCCATATGAATGAGCACATTTTTCATCCCGTCTACAGTCAGAACATGCTCATGGGTTTGCAGATGCCTTGAGGTACGCAGCTCCCAGGGGTCTGCGGTGCACAGGTTAGGACCTGCTGGGCCAATTAATTTGAAATTGGTCTTAGTTAGAAAATCCAATATGTAGGAAGGAAATGTCTTGCATAAATATTTCTTTCAGTATTCCAGTCTGTGGGCTCTGGTAGAAATAATAGTTTGCTGCAAAACAGATCACTCCTTTTTGTTTGCGAAGTCTTCACACCAGCTGAATCACAGCTTGCTTTTCGCTTCTCGTAACACCTTGCAACATCACAAAATATTTGCTGACGTTTGGGAAGGGCAGCCGCAGAATAAGTCAACTGCAAGGAGGCCTGCTTTCACTCCCACCCGGCCCGCAGCACCTTCTGTTCTGCAGGCCGACGGGCAGCTTGAGAACCCTGCCTGCTTCTCCAGATTAGCACAGCTCTTGGCACCGTAGCCTGGAGCAAGAATGGAAGCAAAGGAAACATCAGGGAGCTTTGCAGGTGCCAGTATGTAATATTGTCACTTTACACAAATGAATTTATAAATGGCTTCACGAAGGTGATTTGCTATGGAAACCAGCCTTCTCAGCTTTTATGTAAGTAAGGCTAGTGTGGGCCACTTATATTTGGGAGTATATAATCTGGGTTTAATGACTAACTAACTACCATGCTCTAACCCCTAGTTAACTGGGCTCATATAATGCAAGACCTGGAAGGAACCTTAGCAATCACCTACTTCCAACTCCCAGGTTTATAGATGGGGAACTGAGACTCGCAGAAGTGACGCCACCCAGCTACCATGTGTCAGACCTGAGCCCGTGTTTCCTCACTTTGTTTTCTAGTGCTCGTTTCTTTACCCCATGCTACCTGTATGAACGGACTCCCCTTCCATGACTGGGTGAGAGAAATGGGACCACGATGAGACATGGGGCCACCATCACTTCTTATCGAGAGGTTAAACCAAGTGTTACTGATATGCTGGTGTCTTAAGTATATAACTTTCTCCATCTGAGTTTTCATGGATTCCAACTTTCATTTACGTCGAATGATGGATGGAAGGACAGTGGGGGCGGGTAGGGAGTGATCTGAGGAGACGTGATCATGGTTCCATCATAAACCATACGTAGATGAGCCGTTTGCAAAGAACTAGAATGCACCGAAATCATTTTGAACATAAGGTAAACTTACTGTAGTGATTCAAAAACTATCCTTCAGGATTTTTCAAGGCCTAGTTTCTTGAAGAACGATTCCCATTGCATAATATATGCAAAGTTGCTTTGGGTAAGAGCTTTCCTTCCAGAGCACAGGCTTGAACTGTTAGGCATTGCCACAGGTTCTTGCAGGGAGGAATGGCAGAAGCTTAAAATATTTAGTACTATCCTTTGAAAACCAAATCAAAATCCAAAGTTATCACTAAACAGTGAAATTAAAGAATGTGTTAGACTATTATTTTAAGGGACATGTGAATACAAATACTTAGTCTCCAAAAGTCTTTAATGTGTGAGAATCACCTGGGGGTCTTGTTTAAATGCAGGTTCGGGTTCAGGGGCTGAGATGAGCCCCAAGATCCTGCACCTGTAACAAGCCCGCAGGCGGCACTGACACCGCCGGTCCTCGGGGCGCACCTTTGGTAGAAGGGGACATGTGCCTGCCTTCTGCCCAAGCGCGCTTCCCCGAGGGTCGGCTCTGAGTTTGGGGTGTGCGACCCGCAGCCAGAGCCTTGCTGGCCTCCCAGGCCCCAGCCCTCCCGTGTTCGCGCGTCCCCCGCGTGGGCCCTGCTCCGCCGCGC